GGCTCCATGAACTGCCTTCCAGCCCTGACTCTTCCTTCCTTCTGGAAAGCAGATCATCTGCTTTCTACCCTTTCCAAAAAATTCTGTCAAGGAGATAAAATAACCTTTAAGGTTTCTCTTACACTCTACAACAAACCTTCTTCCAGTTTCTGAGAGAAGCTCTTTCCAACTATTTTGCTTGCCCTTGTTACTTGCACCTTCCACAAACTCCTTGAGCCCTTCAATTACCCCCAACCCTTCTAGCAGCACCATCCCTCTCTTTGCTTCCCTGATTTTCAAGCCCTTCAATCTTCAAAGCTTTTTTCCAACGGCCTACCTCCACAAATTCTCTCATCTCAGTTCCTCACCCTCTCACCCTCTCACCCTCTCAGCACCCTTCTCTTTGCTTCACCCTCTCACCCTCTCACCCTCCCCTCTTTTGTCTAAGCCTTCCACTCTCCAGCTTTGTAGAAAATCATTTGAAGACCTTGGAAAGCACCATGAGAGGTTAAAACCTCCACAAAAATAATTAAATAGCTCTCTGGTCAAGGGACAGTGAATAAAAAGATTTAAACAAAAAATGTCTTGTTTAAATCATTTCTTACTACTTCAATCCTTGTCCGTTTCAGTCGACCCCTAGCTCTTCTAGCCCCTTCAAGTAATAGATCACTTCTTACGGGTGCTGTAGATGGTCTTATATGCACATGAGCAAACCATCTCAGTCTGCTTTCTTTCATTTTATCACCTATTGGAGCTCCTCGTAGGTTCCTTCAAATGACTTCATTCTCACCCTGCCCCAATCTGGTCTAAATTAAAGACTAAAAAATTAGGATGTACTCTGTTCATGGTTGTGTTCATGCTTCAGCTGGTTCCAGAACAAGAGATTTTGTTTCATATTCAGATATATTATATTGGCAGTTCTGGAACTGGCAATCCATGGTTCCAAAACTAGCAAAATCCCCTTTTTTCAACATGCCAACTTATGGTGTTCTAAACCAAAATTCATGGTTTACTGATACAAGTATGACAAGACAATTATATAGGTCTTTTTTTCAACATGCCCACATAAGCGACATGTAGCATTTTGATTTTCCCATACTGGAGTCATGTTTGGTTGGGTAAATTCAAGTTCAAATGTTTGTACCACCCTCTAAATTGGGTTGTGTGCATAGTAGTGTTAGAGACCCAACAAGGGGTATTTCCACTTCAGGTGTCTTATGTGGTGTCTAGTGGAACTTATGTGTTAAACCATAATAAACAGTTGTGCATTGAGTTGTGTGCAAAACACCTTACTTTCCCAATTTTTAATGCTATAAATCAATTACAAATGTTGAAACTTCAACCCACCACAGTACCAAACACCATCAATAGTGTGCCTCAGATCATAAATAAATCTCTAGTATTAATTTATTTTACTCAACAATGACCATACAACCAAAAGCAAGTAGTGAAGGCACATGTATAGATGAGTCACACAATCAATACTCACATTGTAGTTCAATAAAAGAACCACAAAAAGAACAACCTCATTTGTAGTTTTTGGTTAAAAAAATGCATTGTTTTCTGAAAAAGTTGGTACATTTTTTGAACCATACCACCCTTTTTAGAACCATGGAACAACACCTCAGATGGCTATTATTAATTGAACAAAACTCTGATCAAAGATAAGAATAGGACTGATGTGGACACAGAATCAAAACATTGCTAATCCATAAGGCTCAGTTTGGAAGGAGTACAAATACATACAAAACAATACAAAATACAAGGTTTTGCACTCTACATATTTGTATTTGTACTCCTTCCAAACTGAGCCTAAGGTTCATTATCTGATGAATGGTGTGGATTGGGCAGAAGATTCATCATTCCTCCACAGCTAAAATAGCAAGTCATGTGGCATGCTCCCTACTTGACCTGATTAAAAAACCTTTTCTCTATATGTTACTTATGTTATCATTGATCAGGAGACTGGAAAATGATAGCCCACCTCACAACAACTCAAGACAGTAAGGAAGTATTCGTGCACTCATATAGTATCATTCCTCAGGATAATAGAAAATGATAAGCCACCTCATACCAACTCCAAGTATCATAAATACTTTTTTTTATCAAGCACTATAGACCAATCCCTTCAGCTTCTACCCAGCAGATAGCATAAAGAAAGTTTCCTCCAACACCAAGGCACACCAAAAAATGATCTCCACATTGGTCATTTGAAAGCTTTATGCACCATTTCCATGAGTCCACTACCTCAATCAAACAAAAGAATACTTTATGACTTAACCCATTCCCCAATTTTCAAAACTTAATACAGCCTTCAATGTTCTATTGGTTTCTTGGACATCTCCTCTTTAAGTTCACTTTGATATATTTGATGAGGTAAAGGGAATTATTTATGCCTGACATCATGAGAAGCTACTAGATTGACCAACCTGTGGAAGCTTGCCAATTCCCTTGACAAGATTGAGGAATTAAAAGAAAACTAGATAGGATTTTCAAAAATTTCCTATTTTGACAAAAGGCATAACCTATTAAAATGTACAGAGATGATAGTATGTAAAACTAGAGAGGAAGAACCAGGCCATTGAAGAATCCTGAGACAATTTTTATGTCACTCAACTAGTCCTGACTTCTGACCTAGTCCTACCATCATCCAACTCAACAGGTTTTTGAACATTACACAATTACCTACAACATTTGTCACATTATATTTTTCTTTGTTCAAGAATAGGAAAACAACATCAACAAGGAAAAGACAGCACATAATGTATGATACGATAGATGCTAGTACTTACAAATTTTGTGTAAGCCTGATCAACCAAGTCCCTAGATTGTCCTTGAATATACTGCTCCATACGTGTTGCAAGGGTTGCAAATCTATTCATAAATGACACAGAAGAAATTAGATATAGACCAGCCCAAGAAAACCACTGTATAGAAAATAGATTTATAACATGCTTATGATTTACAGAAAAAAAGAAGCAACCATTCCATACAATAGAATACCATGTTATCAACATAAGTTTAGACCTTGAACAGCAACCAAAGAGTAATTAATGCACCTGCACCTGTGACCTAGAAGAATCCCAAGCTCCTAATGGAGAAATAATAGATCCATCATTTTTTTTTGGAAAAAGGTAAGGTGATGTATTAAACCACAAAAAGTATGAAGGATATACAATCAGCCCAATTCCCTGTACAATGAGAAACTGTACTAAAGGAAAACCCCTGAAACTCAAAACACAAAAACTGAGCTAGTAGGCATTTACATACAAAAAACTATCCGAGAATGAGCTCTGTCAAAAAAAGAACTTGTATATCTGGAATTCTGGATTTGAAAAGTGGGTGATTAGCTAGCCACGAACACAGCATGCCCATGATATTTTTAAGAACTTCCTCTTTTGAATTTTGACGCCCTTCAAATATTCTCTGATTCCTTTCATGCCAAACTGCCCAGAACACAGCTGCAGGTATAGTGTTCCATACAAGTCTTCCAGCCTTACTTAGACCCTTTAACTTTCAAGCAAACAGAAGGCTGTTCACATTAGGTGGAAAATACACCTTCACCCCAAACAAATCCAAAATTTTCCCCCAAATCCAGTGGGTGAGATCACAGTGGATCGGGAGGTGATTAGAGGTTTCTGTTCTTTTTTTACACAGAACACATCTTTCATCCTGCACTTGAATGCCCCTTCTGACTAGGTTTTCTCTAGTCTGTATTCTGTCCAGTACCGCTGACCACACAAATAATAGATCCATCTAAATTATTTTAAAAAAAGCTTATTCACTGCAGATTAGCCTTGGGCTATTGCTTTTCGGATCCTCCCAGTGTATTTTGAGGGGCATTTGCACCAATCCAATTGTGTTCATTATTTTTTGGGAGATACTCTTCCCTCTTTTTACTGATGAAATATTTGTACTTCATGCTACCAGGAAAAGGTTAATAAATTAAGATATTTGTGCAATATAAAACATATGGCAATGCAAAGAAGAGATACAAACATAAGAGTTATTGACATTATAATGCTAATCTCTTGAATTATTAAGTTCAAATATTCTCCATTCACAATGGTTCTGTTTCACAACCATAGAGAATTAAAAATAAATAAATAAAAAAGAAAAAGGAAGGACAGCTAAACAATATGAAAGCTTCTGGAGCATCATGTCACCCTCAAGCTAATGGAGTCTTCAAGACTTCTAGGAGAAGTTGGACATTCCCGTAATGCCTCAACAGCTCAACTCAAGGGTATTAGAAATACCAAAGGAGCTCACATGGTGAAAATCCCAGGGACCTATACAGCTAAAGGAACTTTAAAAGCTCAAAGCTATAACTCTTTTTAGCACTACCATAAAAGTTAAAAGGAGTCCATACATGCATGATGTGGCATCATCATAAAGCAAATGAACATGACAATGTTTATGCAATTACACATATTACATTTACCAGACACTCAAAAGAATTTTTTACCATCATAACAAGAAAAACATTGAAGTACAAGGTGTTTATATATTAAAGATAATATGATCACCCCATACAAGATTTCCACGTTGCTTTCAAAAGATATCTGATCTGAATTGCAAAATTCCCTTAGATAAAAGACCCAATCCACTATTAAAATAGCTCACATCCAAACACAATTCTGCTAGCAGTGTTGCATGGACAAAAACACAGGAACCAAAATCCTACATGAGAGTGGCACTCTGACAAAGCAAGATGAAAAAATAAGGATTCATAGAGATGTTTATTCAAAAGTATAAACTATTAAACAGTCAGTTTTCAAATTTTAGCAATAATATAGCTAAACAAAAGGTTTTAAACTTTATCTTTGTTACTAAATAGTGGTTTTCTTGAGAACATGGCATTCATTGTGCATTTTTTTTTATCAATAACCACAGATTTCATTAATAATGAAATAAAATTACAAGGAAAAGGAGCTAAGGAATCTTAACTTCCCAAGGTATGGGAATACATCCAACTGAAAAACACAAAAAATTACAACTGAGCCCAGAATCCAGAAGCCCTATTAACCCTTGCCTAGCTAATCCATCAGCAAAGGAATTGGCATTTCTCTTTACCCAAGTACACTGGACTTCCATATCTTTGATCAGCCATTTGAACTTTCTCTTTTCATTGCCGTAGCTCCACATCTTAGAAGTGTCTTCTTTTAACCAGTCCACTACAATCACAGAATCTCCTTCTATAATCAGTTTCTTAACATTAAGTTCTTTGGCCCTTTACACCCCTTCCAAGGCTGCTAACACCTCAGCCCTCAAAGAGTCTCCCACTCCAATTGGGCCAGAGAACATAGCTATTACATAACCTTTCTCATCTCTTAGTGCCCCCCCAATACCCGAAGGCCCTAGATTCCCCATGCTACTACCATCAAAATTTAGTTTGATAAAACCAGGAGGTGGAGGGTTCCAATTGAGATTCGAAGTCTTCTTGCTTGAGACTGAGCTAGCAATTTCTTTTCATTTTCTTAACATATCATCTGTTGAAAAATCTGTAAACTCATTCATTGTCTTCAGCCAGTGTATTACCCTTATATGAATCACTTCTACCATAGTTTCCAAACCTCTCTCCTTTTCTGAAAAGATCCTTGCATTTCTTTCTTCCCATATTGTCCAACAAACAGCAGCTCTCATGCATCTCCACATGATTCTTGATCTTTTTGTTGAGCATTCAATAGAAGAAGAGGAAAACAAACTTTTGCACATTAGTTGGGGATATCCACCTGCACCCAAACAAAGAAGCAAACCAATCCCAAATATTTTTTGCCAAAACACAGGATATTAGTAAGTGGTAACCAGACTCACCAGCAGCTTTGCATAGAACACACCAGTGTGGAGATAAACAGCTATTGGGTCATTTTCTTTGAAGTAAATCACCTGTGTTAATTCTTTCTAGGAAAGCTTCCCAACCCTTGGAGGTATAGGTTGACACCACACTTCCTTGACAGGGATAGACAAACCAATAGGAATTTCCGGTTGTATTAGGGCTTTAAAGAAGGAGGCACAAGTAAAGGATCCGGAAGGAGACAAAGTCCAAATCCTACTATCTATCTTTGTAGGCTCCAAGAAAATCCCATCAAGGATGGACAAGAGAGTTGAAATACTATCCAGTTCTGTGTGCCTGAGTGCTCTTCTCAAACCCAAGTTCCATCCAAACCCAAAATTTGAATTTGAGGAAACAAGGAAAGTGGCAATTGGTTCATTTTTGAAAGTGGAGATTGCAAATAAAACCGGAAATTGGTCTTTCAAAGAGAGACTCCCCAACCCAAACATGTTCCCAAAACTTTATGAGGTTACCCGAGTGCAAGTCATACCTGATCCAAGGAGAGAAAATAGGCAAAATTGCTTGGATTGATTTCCAGGGTGATGCTCTTGTAGCCATAGCCAGAATCCCAGAGTCCCAACCATTCTCTACAAGCCCGTGAATACTACAAATTATCTTAGCCCACAGTTTCTCCTTCTCCAATGAAAACCTCCACAACCATTTCCCTAACAAAACCAAGTTCCTCTTCCTTAAGTTCCCAATACCTAGCCCTCCATCCTGCTTACTCCTACACACCATCTCCCATCTAACCCTATGATCCTTTTTTTCCTCCCCTAGCTCCCACAGGAAGTCTCTCATTAGCTTTTCCAACTTGCTAGCCACCCCTGCAGGCACCTTAAAAACTGAAAGGTAATAAATGGGAAGATTAGCTAGAGAAGACCTAATTAAGGTGATTCTTCCTCTAAGAGAGAGATAGTTTTTCTTCCAAGAAGCAAGTCTCTTTTCAAATCTCTCCACTACTGGAATCCAAAAACTTCATTTTTGAGGATTATCTCCTAGGGGAAGACCAAGATAAATTAGAGGCCAACTAGACACTTCACAACCCAAAATATTTGCACACTCAAGGATCTCACTTTCCCCCATATTCACACCTACAACACAACTTTTATCAAAATTTACTTTTAGATTCAACATTTGCTCAAAGAGTTGTACTATAAGTTTCACATTCCTGATCCAATTCATGTCCCCTCCCTCACAAAAAAGAATCGTATCATCTACAAACTGCAAATGTGTGAGTGGTATGTTCTCCCTGCCAACTCTCCACCCCTGGATTAGACTTCTAGAATCTGCCCTAGAGATCAATCTCCCTAAGACTTCAGCAATCAAGATGAACAAGAAAGGAGAAAGGGGGTCTCCTTGTCTTATTCCCCTCAAGGCTGGGAAGAAGTCTACCACTGTTCCATTCACCAAAATAGAATAGTGGCAAGTCCGAATACACCCCAAAACCCACCTGCACCATCTATCTCCAAACCCAAAGTTAGTCATCACCTCCAATAGAAAGGACCAGTCTACCAAGTCATAAGCTTTTTCCAAATCTAGCTTACAGACCACACCCTTCTTCCTTGATTTCTTGAAGTCCCCCACACTCTCATTTGCTATAAGTATTTGATTAGTTATTTTCCTTCCCCTCACAAAAGCTCCTTGTTTATTTGAGATAATGGTATTGAGCACCTGTCTAATCCTAAGGGACAAAACCTTCACAATGATCTTATATAGACTATTAACTAGACTGATAGGTCTATAATCCCTTGGATGTGTTGCCTCTCTCTTCTTGGGAACCAAAGCAATGAATGTGGAATTCAACCCCAGATTAATCACTCCTCTTCTGTGGAACTCTTCAAAGACCATCATTAACTCTTCTTTCAAGATCTCCCAACAGTCCTGATAAAATGCCGTCGTAAAACCATCTAGGCCTGGAGCTTTTGATCTATCCATGGAGAATACTACCTCCTTTACTTCCTCCACCTCAAATTTTCTCTCCAACCACTCCCTATCTTCTAAGCTTAGGTTTGGCCATTCCGTCCCCTCAATCCATACCCTATTACTTAAGGATTTTCTATAGATAGATCTGAAATGGTTTGCAAACTCCCTAGCAATCTCACCCTGATTAGATAAGGTTATCCCCTCCACTTCCAAACTTGAGATAAAATTTTTCCTTCTCCCATTTTCCAAAACATGAAAGAATTTTGTATTCCTATCCCCCTCCTTTAGCCACTTACACCTTGACTTTTGTTTCTAGTTGCTTTCCTCCTTGAACAAGTCATCCTCCAATTGTTTTCGCAATTTCCACCTTTTTTCTTTGTCCTCCTGAGTAATACCTCCCCTCCCCTCCTTCACATCCAAATCTTCCAGTTGAGCAATCACAGTCTGCTTTCTTTCTTCCAACCTCCCAAATTCTAAGTTATTCCATTCCTTAATTTTACCCTTCAAAAATTGTAGCTTCTTATGGAACCTCATTCCATTCCATTCTACTACAGGATCACTCTCTAACCACCAATCCTTGATTTTATTAATAAAACCTGGGTGGAGTAGCCACATATTCTCAACTCTGAACGGGGCAGGCCATGTGTTTCCCAACTCTTCCTCACCAATCATAATAGGCCAATGGTCTGAAGTTACCCTTGGAAGTGCTCTAGAAGTCAAGCTACCCCAATGTTCCTCCCAATCCACTGAAAAAAGAAACCTATCCAGCTTAGAACAAATGGGATTCACTTGTAGGTTGGACCAAGTATAGTTACTACGTGCCAACAGAATCTCTTTGAGTTCAAAAACTTCCATAAATTGATTAAATTTCCTCATGCTCGTAGTCACCCTCTGTCTAGGATTATTTGTTTCTTCCGAAAACCTAATTACATTGAAATCACCTCCTAAACACCAAGGTCCTTCCTACAATCCCCTTATATCCCCCAACTCTTCCCAAAGATTCCTCCTCTCTCTATAATCATTAGGTCCATAAACATTTGTTAACACCCATTCAAAGCCATCCTCCACCTGCTTAAATTTCAATGAAACTGAAAATTGACCTATCAACTCCTCCATTGCTATGCACACCTCATTCTTCCATAAAGTTATTAATCCTCCTGCAGACCCCCAAGAAGGTGCAGTAGCCCAACTAACCCCCCTTGCTCTCCAAATGCTCCTAGCCCACCTAGCATCAAAATCTGCTCTCTTAGACTCCTGTAACATAATTACATCTGGGTTTATCTTTTTAATTGCCTCTTTAATTACTGCCCTCTTCTTAGCACTACCCAACCCTCTAACATTCCAGCTGACAATTTTCATTTTGCTCTCTTTTCATTTTCCCCCTCAAGTCCAGAAACTCATTACTTAACCCCCTTCGTCCTGTCCCCTTTGACACCCGCATTCTTATCTCCTCCAATATCCCTCATCAATCTTTCAACCTCATTCATTGTGCATATTAGCAATTCATTTATGTCAAATAAGCAAGTAAATGAAGGAAAATGTTATACTGAAGTGTCTATCAAGAATCCATGGAGTGTCGGAATTTGATGTATGTCTGACATAGACACTTCATCCATTTAGGAGACTCCACACAACAGTGTCTTCTAGTCAATTGGAAATTGTTATCAAAAGGATTTTTCAATAATACAATTAGAAAGAAAACAAAAATGATCTATACCTAATGAATTACTGCGATTATTGGCATAAACTATTATAAAATGTAGTTTAAGTATGCTAGTCAGACTACAGAATGTAATCATGATGTATATTTGTATCATAAATGTCAACACAAGATAGACCTTATAGCCCCTAAGGTTGTCAGGCTGTACACCTAAGAGTTAAAGTACTCTGCATGTTCACATGCCAGAAGATACACAAACAAAGATCCTGCACATGTGTACATGCTAGCACACACACAGTGGGGATTGGGGAAGACAAATTCCAAAATCATATGAGATTTCTAAGAGCCAAATTTTATAGAAGTTGTAATTTTTTTATTTTTTTTTGAGTAAGATTAAGTATACCATTGCATTAAAACAACTATAGGAAGAAGTTGCAGAAGCCCATGCATACCAAGGATCAGCACACTTGGAATATACAAGCAATACAACCCATGTCTTCCCCCTGAATAGACTTTGCGCACCAACCCATGAGAGCAACTTTGCTTTTAGTTTACTGATCAGCATGCCCACCAACTCTCTTGTTCCCAAAAATTCTGGAATATCTTTCAGATTATACTCCATAACACTGCAAGAGGAGCTACCTTCCAGACTATAGCCCCCTCTTTACTCAAGCCTTGCACCTGCCAACTATTAAAAAAGCTTCCATGTTTCTAGGGCACATCCTTGCACCCCAAAATGCTACTGAGTACTGACCTACACACAAAGTTCTCTAATATTCACAATGTATGAACATGTGGTTAACTGTTTGAGAGTATTCAGAACACAATACACATAAATCACTGTTCATTCCTATTCCCCTCCTCTGCAGGTTATCCTTATCCATAGTCAAACATCTATCAGGTATATCCATCCAAGCAAGAAAAGACACATTACAGGGTACAGATGAGATCCGGAAATTTGATGCTGGGAAAGGAACTAAGTTGGGGGCTATAATATGTTTGTAAGAGATTGAGCTGGAAATACTCCAGACTTCTCCGAAATCCACACCCTTCTATCTACCTGAGATGGTTGAATCACCATGTTGTTCAGTTTCTGAAACATCTCAATTATTGGAGGCTTGGAGCCATTCTCCCAATCATTTAGGTGTCTTCTAAATAAAGGTCACCATTCTGCTCTACCATTTAGGTGTCTTCTAATCAGCACCATGGCAATTCATCATTAAAAAATTGCTAGTCAGGCATGTACTGATGCAACAAAAACACAAGACCTGAGTAATAAGTCATCTTCTTCATAACATGACAGCAATATCTCTATGAACTACACCGAGATTTTTTTGATTGCTAAACCACACTAAGATATGTTGAATGAAGAATTAACTTAATATTTAAGCTCACTGGCTTAATAACTTAATTAGGAATTTTCCAATGTCCTACTGAACCAGCAATTGCCTAAAAAATGACAACTATTCCTCCTTATATGGGATATTAAATTAACCTGGGGATATAAGACAGGACACCCATCTGCCGTACATTGCGTTCATTTCTCTCAATCTGGTGGCAAGCTTCATCAACAAACTGCACACACAAATTACAGGTTACAAAAGAAAAGTCATCATCTCCAGAAAAAAAAATAATAAACACAATTCTACTATGTAAACAAATGATTACCCTGTTGAATTGAACTGAAATTCTTGACTCGAGGTCATCAAGCAAACAACGCACAAACCCTGCTGCATCAGCTTTCTGACCAGAGAGATAGCGCTCTGTAATCCCATGCATTGATATGCAGCGCAAAGGATCAATTTTGTATGCCCAATCCACCACAGCATAGAAGTCCTCCTAAAAATTCATAGAAACATATAACCTCTTAAAAATAAATATTTGGAACCACAATAGGAGTTCTCTCAGGTTTACAGTTTTGGTACAAAATCATCAATTAAAAGTTTGAAAGATAAAAAAAACCACATATCTTACTAGCTACTGAATATCATGGTAGCCTAGAAACATGGTGCCCAAGTGGCAACTAAGAGAGCTAGTTGGTAGCTACTGAATATCATGGTAGCCTAGAAACACAATCATACTGCAGATGGCCTAGCTAAATTTGGTGTGTATTTGTTCCTCCTTTGTAACTTGTAGGGGTTCCCCCCCTGCTTTGTATATCTCCTCTTGTCCCCCCCCCCCTTTTTTCTCAATAAATTCTGGTTAAATTTTCTCAAAAAAAAAAAAAGAATTATGAAATCTCCCTGGATCCACAAGGCTCTTATAGGACCAACTGAACAAGCAATCTCTAAAGGAAGTCCTGACTGAGAGATTAATGATCTTGGAATATTTATAGGGTCACTATTAGTCTGAAAACCATTGCTTATCACAATGGTGAAATATCAGGCTGACATGCAACCAAGAGAATGTTAGTTCAAGTATGAGAGTAGCCACTTTGAGCAAAAATGCCCAAGATTAGTTCCATATTCAGACAACCCCTCCTAAGACACCAAATAACTAGGACCAAGTGACCAACATTGGATAATGGCCATTTTATAGAAAGGAGAAAGAAGAAAACCATGTATATAAGTCTCCCTCAAGAATACATGGAGCTTTGGAATCCAACTAGTGATAACTGCTTTAAATTATATCTAATTCATGAGATATTCAGTACTTAGGTAGACAAGGCTTTCTAAACACATTATAATAAAATCAAAAAGACAAGTCTTGACTCAGAGAAGAAAAACAATGGACAATTCTCTGTCAAATCTTTTTACAATGCTTCAAGTGAATTGGGGGGGAAGAAGTACCTGTCAACAGGATCTGGTGAAAAATTATGCCATCCAATATTTTAAAGCGCAAAGGCGTGACGCGAGGCGTTCCACTACCTAGAGGCGTGAGCAATGATTTAAAAGGCATGCCTCAGGCACACCTAGGTCCTAGGCACATTCCTTTCAAAAGGCGCACGCCTGGTGCACCTAGGCGTGCGCCTGATGCGCCTTGCGCCTCAGCCTAGGCATACGCCTTTTGAAAATTTGCCGCTTTTTTGCCTTTTTTGAACATAGCAGCTGGGCCAGGGGCTCCGCCCCCGGACCCCTGTGCCACGCCCCTTGAGGCAAGCCTAAACAAGTCCATGTTAGGTCTTAAATTCTTAGTTTTCACACAAAAAATAATGATTTTATAGTTTTACTTGCTTTTTAAGAAGACATTTTATTAGGATGAATGAATGAACAACATTATCAAATTGGGGGTTCTTGAAGCTTCGGTGAGCGAGCAAAGCGAGCAAATGTAATATGTTTTACATTACATTAGCTACGTGAAGTAATGCAATTGAGCGAAAAAAGAGATTATAGGTTTTAAATTCTTGAAAATGTTTAATATGTTTCATTTTATTTTTAAATTCTCATTTGAATATGCTTTACATAATTACATCTTATGTTTATGTATTTCAATTTTAGATAATAGGTTTTTTAAAACATTATTTTAAAATTTAAGTTTAGATTTTTTATTATTATTATGCTTAGTATTTATTTTTTGAATTTTTTGGCATTTTTCTGAATTTTCTGACATTTTTTTTTATAATTTTGCGCCTTGCTTCGAAAAGGCGTGTGCCTCACCTTGCACCTTGCACCTAAGGCGCAAATTGACTCCTGCGCCTCTTTTGCACTGTAAGTTTTCAAGACTGCTATTCAGTCTTGACCACTAAGAGATTTCAGGTTCGATGAGAGGAGAAAGTGAAGAAGTAGAAGAAAGAGTGGTGAAAGAGCAGTAGAACACAGATTTTGAGGAGAAGAACAGAATGTCAATATTCTGCCGCCGCCACTTTAAGTTAATATATATAGGTTATGCTAGTTATATGAAAGGACATATCTGCCCTTGGTGTTTACATCATAACTGCTAACAAATAACAAATAATATAAAACTGAAACTAGAAATAACAGAATAGCAAAATAACCACAGTTGTGACTAAATACATTCTACCCTACGGACAGAGTGGGACCACAGCTGTGGGGCTCACATCAATGTTCTCTACATGCACCTTGCGCATTTAAAACATTGGGCGTGAGGCATAGTTCAGAATGTAAGAGGCGTAAGCCTCCCGAACACAAGGAGGCGTAAGCCTCCTTAAGAGGAGGAGGATGAGGAGGAAGGGGAAGAAGAATAGGAGGAAGGAGGATCTCATTTTTTCCTTATTTTTAATAAAAATCTTTTATATTAAAAAGAATGAAGATGAATAATACTAGTTGAAAGGGGGATCTTGTTGAATCCCACTTTCTTTCCCCTCATCTATTCTTTCCTTCCCTTTCCTTTTATTTTCTTTCATTTTCTCTTTTTTTTGTTCTTTCTTTCTTTCTTTTTCTTTCCCTTCCATTTCCTTTTTCTTCTTTTTTTTCGTCATTTTATAGGAGGTGTGCATGAGGCATACACCTCAATTATGCCTCATGAAAAAAGTGTACGAGTACGCCTCAAGTGTCAGCGCCTCTGGTCTGCACCTCAGGGCGTTTTGGGGGCACCTCGCCATATGTCCCACGCCTTTTAAAACACTAATGCCATCTAGGGTTGCTTTTTGAATAGAATCCTAACGAAGGCAAACTTGTTGAGAAAGGGGATGACCTTAGAAGAGACGAGGTGTGTCTTATGTTAGGATTCTTAGGAATCAACAGATAACATACTCCACTAAACTTTTCCCTATTTAATCAGGGATGACCTTAGAAGAGACAAGGTGTGTCTTATGTTAAGATTCTTAGGAATCAATGGATAACTTACTCCACTGAACTTTTCCCTCTTTAATCAGGAATAGAATTTTGCCAGATTTGGGGTGAGAAGTTGCTGTCCAAATTCAGTAGAGGCTTTTCTAAAAGGGTAGCATTTAATGGGATTGACTCTGAGAGGTAAAGTTGTTTGGAGTGTAGTCCTAGCAACGATTTTCTGGGTGATTTGGCAAGAAAGGAATGGAAGAATTTTCCATGATTGGCATAATTCATTTGATACGGTTTTTCAAAGATTAGTAGGAAAGATAGTCTTGTGGTTGAGTGTTCATAGAGAATTTAAAGGAAGAAGTTCTAGTACTTTACTACTTTTTTGAGCTTGAAAGTCCTTTTGTAAAAAGTCAAGGGCTAGTGGCTTTGTAAACAGTCGAGGGATAGGGGCCCTGTTTATATTCTGGTTATACATGGTTTTGGTAGTAATAAAATAGTTTTTACCTTGCCTTTCCGAAAAAACTCAAAAGTGCATATTCTTTTTACGAATAATCAAAAAATTTATTAATGTATAAGTGTGTGCAAGATTATGTACAAAAAGTACAGAAGCCAAAGACTGTATAGTACACTGCCTTCTACACCCAAAGACAGAGCTTCCCCTATCCATATTGTCCACAGTCAAAGCAGAATAAACACAGCACTCAATCGTCCATTAGTTGTACTTCTGTGTTCTATGAAATCAATCTTTCTGACCTTCAACAGAAGTTGTTGCTATAGCTTTCAGCTAGAGATGATCATCCAATTATGCAAAATTTTTCCTACAAGCCCTTTGTGCTTCTCAATGAAGTAAACACAATTTGATGGTTCCAAATATGCACAGAACCAGTTTCCAGTCTGTCCTTGTGAAGCTTAAGAATGTGCCAAATTTAGCAACTGAAATAAGTTCATGAATAGAGATCATCAATTTATTTGGAAAAGATTACTTGGATTCCATCAAGCAAATCTTGAAGAGATTCATTTAATGATCCCAGCTCCAAAGAACTTTTACCTGCAGAGTTAAATTTATGTTAATTCACTTTCCAAAATTTAGAGACATATATCAAAATATTTAAAAACATTAAGATTACCCTCTTTTCTATCATTTTCATCAATGTCCATAATGCCCAAATCATCATCATTTGTATCTTCATTCAACCCATTTTTGTCCCCGCTAGCAGGACCTCCAGGTGGAACAAGAGCAGGAACCTCAAAGCACATGAAATGTGCAAAAAAGGAACTCTAAAATTCGAGTAACAGAAGCATTTCAGTATGCCATACAATAAGAGTATATTTATAAGAAATCGACCAAAGAAAATACAATGAATAAATAGAAAAAAGTATTTCCACAGCATAAAGTAGAGAAATAGGGCTTGTTTTCTGAAAACCCGTATTGGTATTAAGGTAAGGTAGCTAGTTTCTGATCTACCAAGCTAGGGGGTGTTGAGGCATATCTTTCGTTACACATTGCTACAAGCAATAAAGTTCAAGTTATTGATCAAAAAAATAGAGAAATTGGGTTATAACCTCATCAACAAGGAGGGGGATGAAAATAGTAAGCATCTTTGCATATGCATCAGATACATTGGAAGTGTCTGCATTATTCACAGTTTGACTGGAACCAGAGGAAGCTTCAAGCCAGACAGTGGGATTTCTTGATGCTTTTGTGCCAGCACGAAGCTCATTAGCAAATTCACGGGCCTGCAAATGATTAAAAAAATTCAAACTTTTTAATAAGATTTACTTTATTCCCCAAAACACAAGATGCATCAATACTAGGTTCCCTTCATTCAAGACAATTATATCAATAGAAGAGTTGTAGTAAAGAATGAGTTTATGCACTCTGTCTCTTTGCTACTTCACACTACAGACATGGTGGAAACCATGAAAAGAAACAGTTCAAAACAAAACCAAGCATGGGTTTCCACCTTGTCTAAATGTCAGGGTATTGAAGAGTTGAATAAACATTTTGTTTACTAGCATTCCTCATAATCTAGCAATGGAACATATCTCTTTGTTGCTAGCAATGAAAAAGAAAACCCAAACAACTAGACATACCAAGTTCCATTCAAGGCAAACAGAAGGCATCACAAATCAACCATGACAAGAGTCACACACATGCAACCACAACAAATTTGACATGTTTTCAGAGTTTTTTCTGGTAAAACATGCTTCCAAAGTTGATAATACATTTAGACATATATCTATTCAGTTTTTCTTTTCTGATCATAATATGTTAGGGTGTAACTGAGGAGCTTTTATTGTTGGTTCTTATTCTTCTTTTTTCTAGGATTTGATCCATGGGCCCGTCTGTACAGCCTCCCACCGTACAGGGAGACCTTCAGTCTTGTGATCTCTTTCTTCCTCTCATTTATGATACATTACCATTTCCAAAAGAATAAAAAAGAAAGTAGATATAAGATAATTAGCAAATGTATATTGTGTCCTGACCTCTCGACGAAGCAGCAAGTTAAGAGAACTACAATAAGCTTTCCGCAATGGACCCAAACAATTCTTGTCGAGACTCTGGAATTAGTGCAGGAAGAAATGGTTGAGAAAGAAAGAATGAAAGGTAATAGAACAATTAGTACTGGTTCAATTTCAGATTGATTTGAAACCTTTAAGTGTTGCAGAAGGCGTGCATATGTCCTGCATTTGTACCGCAGGTCTGCATGATCAGGCCTCTTTAATTGTCCTCGCTGTGCATATCATTAAGATTTAAGACAAGAAAAGTTAAGTACATCAATCAGAATAAGTTTGATGCTAATCACAAATAGTATAGCATGTAGTTGAGATACCTGAGAAAAGTAACTTTTATCACTTATCATAAAATCCACCAGGCTAGAAAAGTAGTTCCTCAAGAATTCAGATGCTCTCCGAACAAAAGTAGTTTTTAATTTTTCAAGCTCTATACGCTTCTCTTTAACCTGTGTAAATTTCACTTACATATTAAACGGAAAAGATTATCTTGAGAAGCTTGTGCCAATTTTCTGAGATTTTTCTAGAAATTCTTTGAAATTCAACCAAAGGTCCTACAAAAAAACTTTCTGAGATTTTTCAACATCAGGAGAATATCCACCAATTCATGAATAGAAACTGAACATCAAGACGCAAAACAATTCCTGATTTAAAAAGGGAGAGAATATAAGCACATAAAATATCTTTGACCTGTTACTGATTAAATAAACAAGATCATTCATGTCCATAAATGAACCCAAGACCATAATCAGCAACCTAAGTTGTCAAGAAATCTTTAAGAACTAAGAAAGGCTCTGCCAAATGTAATAAAACAATTCCCAATTTAAAAGTGGGAGAAAACAAACAAAAACATATGATCGCATATTTATGTGCATCAAGGAACCTTTCAAGGAAGATTGAGATGGATCATCAAGAAAACTTCCTTGAGAAGGCCTTGGGTTAGTTCCAAAACTTGTGGGTGTTAGTGTATAGAAAATTGTCTTTATGCTCAGGGTATATCTTTTTTTGTGCACAGGATACCAATAATATTTTTCATTCATTACAAAAACGGATAAGTAAATCAAAACAAGAAAAGAAGGCAGAGAACATACAGCTCGCATGTCTGCATAGCAAGGATCCAAATTTGGAACTTCCAGACCACGTAAAGCACTCGTTAACCATTCGCATGCTTCAATATTCTGAAGCATGCGTGATTCATCAAATGAACCACTTGTTAGAGAGGCTGCATACTGAAATCAAGAGAATGGAGTTAGAGAATCTGCAAAACCAAATTCAAGCCAGTTATTAATACTTCAAATGCAAGTGATACACCACCATATACCTCAGAGGGAACACGCAGCCTTTCAACAAGCTTATCAAGCTCCTCTACAAGGGCCTTGTTATTCACAGAATGCATCTCTAACTTATTATTACGATTTTCTATCTGAATATCAGAACCAAAGAAATCCAGGTAAGATTTAAATCTAAGAAAAAGCACAGTATATGGGTAAAAGGTATGCAATATTCATTCTAATTATGTAAACCAAAGAGTGAAAGTACTAATTGAAATTGTAACAATGGTGGGCCAGATGGGTCATAGAAGGCAGCATTTTTTTTATTTCTTATTTTAGGTTAATGGGCCTCACACATATGGGCCTGTTAACAATTGTATTTCTTTTCCTCAGCAGCCGCCCTCTTAAGGCATTCTTGCAATTACTTCAAGTTGACTAGAATTAATAAAAGTTAATTAGGAGAGGGAATGAGATTAGATCGAACTGCTCATCTCCTTCCCCCTTTCTTCCATTCTTCTTCTCCTCTCTCTTATTCGGATTTCTCCTTTTTATTTCTCCCTTCTTTTTCTTTGATTATTTCCCTTTCCTGTTGCTGGTTTTCTACTGAAATGAAGCATGAAAACCATATGAAACTGTGTGATTATCTGGATTCTGGAATGGACACTTAATGAAGAGGCTTTCAACAGATTCAATGACAATTCAGATAAATCAATTGATAAGAACATTAAGCTTACATTAGTAAGAGAACAGGCAATAGGAAAACCGGAAAAGAGAAGATAAGAAATTGGTTTTCCATTTAAGGGGAAAACAGGGCAAAGTAAACAAGTTGTGGCAAGTTTATCCCCATCCTATAAGTACAAACTGGAACGCATGGTTTCTCTTTCACTAAACAAAGAAAAAAAAGTCCTTACAGATAAATCATAAAAGCAGTAAATGATTATCATTAAAATATTAAAAGTACATCTTCGCATATGAAAAATGTAAAAAGAATCTTAAAATATAGCAGCAGAAACATGTATATTTCTTCCCAAATGGCACAATGATATTCCAACCTTATAGATCATGCACCAGTTCCTACTTTTTTTTCCAGAAAACTACTTGACATTCAAATTTTAAGCATAAAAGATGGCCATACCGATTCAATGTCCTCTCTCATGTGTCTGAGTTTTACATTAAAAATTCCTAGCCACTCGTCCATATCATCTACACAAATCATTGCTGATTCTAAACCTTGCAAAACCTGCACTTGAATGTAATACCAGTTAAATATCCAAACTACAGAAATCACCTGAAGGACTTGAACATAAAAAATAAATAAATAAATGCAGAGAGATTGAGCCAAATAGGCCTTAGTTTCTTATTTATTTCAGTAGCTTTGTTTCTGCTGTTATATCTGCTATAGTGGGCCTGCTTTATGCACCTTAATACTTATTTTCTTTTATGTTTTAAGTCTGCTGCCCAACTAAGGACACTCTTGTAATTTCACATAATTTTGTTTCAGCACATATTAAATAAAATAAGATAGACAGAGAGAGGGGATTGAACTATTCTCTTCCTCTTCTCTTCTCTTCTCTTCTTCCTAAAGCTTCTACTGAACTTCTTCTCCTTTCTTTCTTCCTTTATCTATTTTCAGATTTATTGCAGGTGTATTTTGCTACTATAAAAAACATGAGATTTTTTACCATCTCCCACTTTGGAAAGAATTTTAGACATTTAGTGCAGTGATCAAATGAACCAGAACCAGGATTACAGGTCAGACCAGCACTAGTAAAATGCAATGTTTTCTGTTTTATTGGAGACAACAAACAAGAACTTTATTAATAATCAAAAGGGAAAAGAGAAAATGCATATATATGGCAAGCCTCCCTAGTCGAAGAGTCAATCCCCACAGCTAATTCAGCCAAGAAATCCACAATTGTATAAACTCAACCCTTGTTCCTCGTCTCAAGAAAAGTTAGCCCAGCTGGGTAGAAGCAGAACTCCAGAAAAGCTATCTGTGATGTACTAAGCCAAACTGTCAACTAGGGAGTTAGCCGATCTGTGGTGGATCCATCAGAACAACATGTTCCCTCTAGCAAACACAGATCTCCCCTCCCTGATAAAATATTGTAACAATCAAGGGCCCTCATTCACCTGAGAATCTTCTTCCACCCAACTCATGAATAACCTAGGAAGAACATCAGCTGTAAATATTGAAGAAAGAGAGGATATCAGATCTAATAGAATTCCCAATGCCAATGGGACCTAAATAAATTAATAGGATTGTCAATAGTTAAGTCCAATTGCCAACGTGATGGTGATGAGGTCATAAACAAAAAAGAATTGTTCTTAAGAAATAATGCTACTAGAGTAACTCTTACTGCTGATAAAAAGAACAAAAAAATAAAAAAGAATCATATCATAGGCCACATAACAAGTGGTGAAGAACAACAGGGTGGGGAGTGCAAGTTTAAGGCTCTACAAGGGTAAGGCTGAAAATGTTGGTCATGGATCAAGGTACCAAGACCAGATTTGGGAGAATACAGGTGCCACTGAAATTTCCTAAACAGATTGGAGTACAAATCCCAAACAGTTTATATGAAATTTTAAGGCAAGTGGTTACAAGAAGGTTTTCAGCAAGTCCCAAAGAAAGAAATTGGAGAGAAGGGGTCACATGGTACACCTGCAAAATGCATCATTGGAGAAAAAGAAGCAACTAATTAACCAGTCAAACCTTGGTCAATTTGGCTGAAAATTGGTGGCATTAAAGTACTCTTATAGTACTAAAATACTGTATATTTTCAGCTCAATCCAAAGTAGAAGTTCAGGACTGTTATCAGTCTTGAACCCTAAGGGATTTCAGGTTCGAAAATAAGAAGAAAGGTAAGAGAAAAGAGGAGGAAGAGGGAGGAGAAGCAGTAGAACACAAGAGTTGAAAAGGAGGAGCAGAAGCTTAATGTTCTGCCGCCGCC